GCTTCAGTCTAGCCTAATTAAGTAGATCCAGTCTTCCATTGCTGCCCTTGTAGTGTTTTCCTTCCAATATAAGGCAAACTGACAGTGTATCTTAGAGTTAGGATATTGGGTTGGATTAGAGTCCTCTTTAAAAACAATGGTACAATTCTCCCAGGGTGACAATTACTGTTAGCTTTTACTTAGGTATGTAATAAATGTTACATTTTAAAGTTTGTGTAGAGCAGTCTATGAATTTCATACTTTAAACATGGTTTTAAATGAAAATATCAGCAGAGAGAATATGTCCAAGAATATTTATAGTGGCTACAAGGGTGAAGGTCCAAGTCATCTAGTAGTAATAGCTTCCAACTGGTCTTGTGTTTTTATTCATATTTTACCTCTTTTTGTAAAAGGCAAAATACAAACCTTAAGGTATTTTCAGCATTTTGATTTCCTACTAGAAAATGAAGCTCCAAGACCACAACTTGGCACTTAAAGCAGTTTGTTAGACATCATGATATAGGTGGGAGTTGAAACTATAAGAGTAGTTGTAACCATCCCAAGGGACACTTATGGAATGATAAAGGAAGAAAGCCAATGGTGGCATGAATATTTGAAGGGCAGACTGAAGAGGAGATAGCAAAGTAATGATGAGAGAGGAAGGAGAGAAACTAGGAGAACATTATAACAAAAAAACCAAGGAAGGATTTAAAAAATCAAAGCCATGTAAAAGAATTATAGACTGACACAGGCTGCAGCTGCAGCTGAAGCCCATAAATCTGTGATAGCACTAGTCTGCCCAACTGTGTTGATTACCTCTGTCGGCAGTTATCTGCTGAAGCAAATGGTTATATAGGGAGAGTAGGATTTTTTAGTTTCAGACTGAATGCATGAGAAAATTAAGGTATAGCCTAGCAAATATTACTGAATTCTAATATTAAGGGGAATGCCATTGTTATTCCTAAGAGAAAAGGCAAGGGGGGAAAGAAAACAGACTGTCATTGGACTTCTATTAAACTGAAAGCTAGAAGACTGTAGAATAACACCTGCAGACTGTAAGTGAAACAATGAAAAGGATCACAGCCATGAGTTCTGTGTCCACCTCTAAACCTTTCAAAGAAAATTAAAGATATTTGAGAATAAGAATAAGAGTATATCACCTACCCGAAGAAAATACTTGAGAGAATGGAAAATAGCAAAGGAATGAGGAGAGAGGGGTCAAAATGGAAAAAAGAAAAAAGCAGGTAAACAAGGAAACATGGATGCAATTAACTAATAGAATAAGAGGAGAGACTTAGGGAATGTATAATCCAAGTGCAAAATAAGGTATCTTGAGACAGAAAATGCATGATACATTCTTGCTAATTTTAAAGTTGTAAAACAAAACATAATAAACTATTTCAGCAAAATTTAGGGTTAATGGGGAAGGGGAAGGAAGGAAATGAAAATAGTTTAAAAGTCTTATGTTGCTGATGTGGGTGAGGAGTAGAAAAATAGAACATTTTCATGAGACAAAGAGATTCTTTTAGGTTTTCATCTTATATGATTAAGCACTAAATAGGATAAAGAAAATTTTAAAGTAATAAACAACAAATAGTTATAAGGAAGATAATAGTTACAAACCTAGATGCACCAAACGACATAGCAATTAAGCTATTAAAAATGCGAGAACTTAAAATACAACATAGGGTAAAACGTCAATATACTTGTCTCAAAGGGATAAACTGGTGGGAAAAGTAATGTAAAGACAGAGGAATTGAATCAATAAACTTGAATATTAATATACACTTATCCCTTGAAGAATAAACTTTTTTGGTATGGTTATAAAACATTATCAAACATGCATTTGGTCACAAGAAAAACTGTAACAAATTTTGGGGGAAAATATAATTTACAGACCACATTCTCTGTTCATAAGCCAATAACATAATAAATATATAATGATAAGTAACTCAAACTTTACCTTAAATTTAAGAAATACATTTTTGATGCCACTGAGATCAAAGAAGAGACCAAAAATTAAAACTACAAACTATCTAGAAATAAATGAGAAAAATATTTTTATTCCCTAACTCTGTTACTCAGTTTTACCCATACTCAGGAAAAAATTATGACCTTAAATTCATCCTTAAAGAAGAAATATGAAAAACAAAATAACTAAGTAATCATCTTAAGAAATTTAAACAACAGAAAGTTAACAAAAAAGAAACTAGGAAAGAAGACTTAGGTAACAGTTCAAATCATGGACATAGAACTTTTTTTTTTTAAGGTGTAGGTAAATTTATAACCTATTCTCTGTACAGACTCAAATATCAGGTGTGTTAGGATTAAAATGTATGGCAATGGAAATCGCATATAAATTCCCTGACAAGAAGCCGGGCTCGGTGGCTCAGCCTGTAATCCCGCGCCTTTGGGAGGCTGGGGTGAGTGGATTGCCTGAGCCCGCGGGTTCGAGACCCGCCTGGGCAGTGAGACCTCATCTCTACAATAAATCAAAAAATCAGCTGGGCGTGGTAGCGCATGCCTGTAATTCTGGCTACTGGGAAGGCTGAGGCGGAAGGATCGCCGGAGCCCAGCAGGTCGAGGCTGCGGTGGCCGGGAGCATTCACTGCACTCCAGTCTGGGCGACAGAGTGAGACTCCAACTCAAACAAACAAGCAAAAAATTTCCTGACAGGAATTTTGGCCCTGGTCCTTTCTCCCCGTTCCCATTATTTATCCACCTTACATCCCTACCTGGAACCTAAGTGGTTACATTGGATGGAAAGCTAGACATACAAGGTCCTTTTATAGCATAATCATAAAGCTGAAGAGGATTTTGTAGTCATATTACCTCTAGTTGAAATTTCTATTCTAATAAAAATTCCCTTGGAAGATGTGTGAATCTTTGGAATGTCAAATCACTGAAAAAAATTTCATTTAAAAAGGACAAGAAAAACCTCAAAACGTAACTAGATTATAGTTTTATGAATCATTGGGAGTAATAGAGGAACAGATACATGTAACTATTATTTAATTTTTAAATTTTCTTTATTCATTATACCTTTCTAATAAACCGTCACTGTCAACAGCAGTTATTAACCTCTGAGACTGAATAAAGTAAGACTTGTTACGTTCCCAAAGTAGAAATTGCATTATTTAATACTACAAATTTGGGTAATCTTTATATTACTACTGGTATTAACTTTGTGTTTTAGAGGGAAAACCTTTGCCTCTCAGCACTGTTACATCGAGGATCAACAGCCTGCTGTTTATTTTTAGCTCAGTTTGAATCGATGGCAATAGAACATTTGCATTGCTTTATTTGTAGAGGGGATGTGTGGAAGGAAAAGGGGAGGTATGGCAGATTGTAATGTTTTTCTGAAAATTTGTAAAACCAGACTATGATAAGAGAACAAACTATGTCTTTCCTTAAGTTCTTATCATTGATTAGAAGGTAGTGTGTATGTATGTATATGTGTGTTTTTTCTTTACAGAAGAAATGCAAGCTTATTATAACTTTTTTTTTTTGAGTCAAGGTTTCATTTTATCACCCAGACTAGAGTGCAGTGGCACAATCACAGCTTACTGTAGTCTCAACCTCCTGGGCTCAGAAAATCCTTCTGCCTCACCTTCCTGAGTACCTGGGTCTATAGGCACACCACCATGCGCAGTTTCTTTCTTTCTTTTTTTTTTTTTACTTTTTTTTTGAGTTGGAGTCTCACTCTGTCACCCAGACTGGAGTGCAGTGGCCACTCCCAGCCACCGCAGCCTCGACCTGCTGGGCTCCAGCGGTCCTTCTGCCTCAGCCTTCCAAGTAGCTGGAACTACAGGCGCGCGCTACCACGCCCAGCTAATTTTTTTTTTTTTTAATTTATTGTAGAGATGAGGTCTCGCTGCCCAGGCAGGTCTCGAACCCGCGGGCTCAGGCAATCCACTCATCTTAGCCTCCCAAAGGCGCGGGATTACAGGCTGAGCCACCAAGCCCGGCCCTTTTTTTTTTTTTTGAGAGGCAGGGTCTTGCTATGTTGCCCAAGCTGGTCTCTAAACTTCTGGGATTACAAGTGTGAGCCACCATACCTGACCTCCGTATCTTGTTTTTGAAAAAATATGGGAAGGGGAAAGAAGGGCCTTAACTCTAAAAGACATTTTATAGCAGAAAAAAGAGTTTACAGCATATGGAGTATAAAGGTAGTATATTTACATTGGTTTTCAGCCTTTTTTATTCCGGTGAACCCAAGAACTACTAGAAATAATGAAATCAAACTTGTGTTAAATTCTAATTATTAATATCGTTCTACTAGTTTTGATTTTTTTAAGTTATGTTTGAAGAAATGCCATTCAGAAGAACCTTTATAAACTCTCTAAATTGTGTAGCTGATGCCCAAAGATAAAATTGCGTATGTATGGGACACCTTCCATTTAATACAATTTTATCTACTTTTCAAGTTTATGATAACAGAGCTAAACTTTCTCCTGATTATTCCATTGATTTTCTTCTTTTCTTTAGGCAGAAGAGCTAGTCATCAATTATTTTACTGTTCACTTTTCTTTTAATAATATTAGACTAAAAAGAAAGTAACAGGAACAGGTAGCATCTTTAGAGCAAAGAACACATGGGGCTTTGTTTTCATCATCCGTTTAATTGTGTTGATGAATATCTGCAGGCTTTTGCTTTTATCCACTTAATCCTGAAAGCAGATCACACTAACTGTTAGATCAAGCCTTGTTTCGAATTCCTATAAAATGTGTGTAATAGATATTTCTGTCTTTGTTCCCTCTTAGCTTTTAAACTTAACTATGATATATCATCTTTTTAAAAAATGGTACATATATTCTCATTATCAGCAAATTTTTCAAACAACATGATGTTCTGTGACATTAATAAGATTGCAAAGAGCTTTTACTCGCTATTCATTTCACTTTTTTAATGTACTTTCATGAATTTTCTAAAAACTTTATTTTTAGTTTTAAGTTTTAGAAAGAAAATTGATAATGATATCTGATCATGGTTTTGTCTGTTTCCCTTGTATCCATCTACAGGATGAATATAAGCCAGAAAAGGCCCTGTCTGAAGAGGACTTGAAGAACGCTGTGAGTGTGCACCACGCACTGGCATCCAAGGCCACAGACTACGAGAAGAAGCCAAATGTGTTCAAACTTAAAACTGCAGACTGGAGGGTCTTGCTTTTTCAAACCCAGTATGTTGTGTTGGTTTTGCCTTTATCTGATTGTGTTTTTTAGTTCAGTCAGCACACTTTATACCAAGGAGTAGACTCAAGCTCTGCAGGGGAAATGTTTTTTAGTTGGAGGCAGTCTGAACTGGTTCCATTAGAGACAACTGCCTGAGAAGACTAGGACAAAGCATAGAAACCCTGGGTCTAAGGTTTTTGTCTGTTATAAAGTAGCCCTGTGACTTTAGCATTTCTAGAACTCAGTATTCTCATCAATAAAATGCAAGGGTTTATTAGACAAGTTCTATCACAAGATAAGTAAAATAGACCTGGATTTAAATCTCCATTTTCCCAGCTCTTTCTTCCAGCATGTAATTTAACCTCTTTGAATCTCAGCTTGTTACCAGTGTAGGTAGTAAGTTTATCTTATAGGGTTTGGTGAGGATTAAAAAGTGTATACAGTACCTCACACAGTACCTACCCAGCCATAGGAACTGTTCAATAAATGTAAATTTCCATTTTATTCTTTTGTTTCCCTTTCCTTCTGAGCTCTAATAGTCCATGAGTGTATACTTGAAGAAAAAGATAAAATCTTGTGAGCAAGGAAATGGGATGGATTGCCAGTATAATGAGGGGTCCAATAACAGACTTCAGATTAGAAGTGGAACTTTCCACATGGAGAATTCTGGGCCTGTGAAGTGAAAACTCAGAACTGAGCCTCTAGATTAGGAATTTCAGTAGGGGTCACACATTGCATCAGTTTTTGTGTCAGATAGTATTAATCATTCAGGGCTTGAGTTTGACTTCAGAATGACCCTCAGCATAGCATTGTCAGCTGACCCCAGTTGACATTGGAATTAAAATTTGACATTGAAGTAGTGAACACAAGTCTCTGCATGCTTGCTGACCAGTGCAATATAATATCAAGAGAAATGAGAATAAAAGCAGATATTCTGAAAATTTTGGGATATTGAATTTTCAAAGGTATAAAATTGCTGTCAGTAGGTGGGGAGGAAGTGGTAAGGAAACAAATTCCACAGGGTTTTTTGATTATTGGAATAGGATAATTAATACCATTATCATAGCTAGATGTATAATCAGTCACAGCAATTAGACGTAAAGTATCTTTCAAATTATTCTGTTTCCTAATTTTTTAATCTAAAATACCAGATATAATAGCCAAGGATATCTAATTACTTCAGATAGAATTGATGCAGAAGGTGGGCCAAGATGGCTCACACCTATAATCCCAGCACTTTGGGAAGCCAAGATGGCAGGATTTCTTGAACCCAGAAGTTTAAGACCAGCCTGGGCAACAGAGAGAGACCACATCTGTACAAAACAAACTTAAAAATAAAAATCCAGACTTGGTATTACATGCCTATAGTCCCAGCTACTTGGGAGGCTGAGGGCAGGAAGATTGCCTGAGCCCAGGAGTTTAAGGCTGTGCTGAGCTACAATCATGCCATTACAATCCTGCCTGGACAAGAGAATGAGGACCCCCCCCCAAAAAAAAAAATGGAAACAGAAATCAGTCAACTGAAATAATGGAGCCAGAGAGATCAGCCTAGAGAGACATTTGTGCAGTGAGTTGACATCTACTGTACTGAGTGTCAGGTTCTCAGGTTAGTGTGGTTTCTCTCAGAGCAATAGGTAAAGGAATTTAGATTTAGCTGGCCTTTTTTTTCTTCACTTTTTGTTTATAGATCATATGCATGGTAGATAATCTATCCTGGTTCTTGACCATTTCGACCATCATTTATGAACTCAAATATTTGTTAAGTGCTGTCTGTTTGAAGCTTTCTGGATATAATGACACATAAATTAAAAATATGATTATCACTTCAGATTATTTCCTCCTCCTCTCAGGTGGATTTTTTTAAACAGTCTTATTGAGGTATATTTTATATACCATAAAACTTCACCAGTTTTAAATGCACCATTTCAATGGTTTTTTTGTTTGTTTGTTTATTTTTAGCATATTTACAGAATGGTGCAGCCATCACCAGAATCTAGTTTATAACACTTTTATCACCCCAAAGAGGTCGCTGGGCCCATTTTACAGTCACTCCCATTTTCTCCACCAAACCCCAGACATACCCTAATCTATTATTTGTCTCTATAGCACTGTTGCCTCTTCTGGACATTTCATATAAACAGAATTAACATTATATAGTCTTTTGTGTCTGGCTTCTTTTACTTAGCATAAACGTTTGGGGGTTCATCCAAGTTGTAGCATGTATCACTACTCCATACCCTTATTGCTGAATACTGTTTGATCGTATAGATTTATCACATTATGTTTATCCATTTACTAGATGATGAAAAGTTGGATTATTTCCCCTTTTTTGATACTTAGGAATAATGATGCTATGAACATTGACATGCAAATCTTTGTGTAGCTATATGTTTTTATTTCTCAGGTACCTACTTAGATAAAGTAGAATTGCTAGGTTGTGTGATAAATTTATAGTTAACTTTTGAAGAAACTGTCAAGCTGTTTTCCAAAGTATATATATTATTTTACATTCCCTGTATCAATATACGCTTCAGTTAGATTTTAAAATTAGATAATGTGATTAAAAGAGATGAGTTAATTTTATAACTAATTTTTGACCTAGCCTAGTGTCAGAAAGAGTAGGAGTTTTATACATGTTTATTGTCAAGTGATTTTTCTTTATTTCTTCCTATGTCCTAGAGAGATTGTCACAGTCTTACATTATGACGATTGTAGGAGCCAATACCTTTCACCCCCATGGTGATCATTGTTCTGAATGTTAATATCCAGTGAAGTTTTGTCAGGGCTTAGTTGCACCAACAGGAGTAATTTATTTGTATGTGCCATTTTAAATCAGTAATGAAAAATGGGAAAAGTGTGGGACATTTAGATATAGAAGTATCCTGTTATAAATATGTCTGTTTCTCACAGGAGTCCAGAGGAAATGCAAGGGTGGATAAACAAAATTAATTGTGTCGCAGCTGTATTTTCTGCCCCACCATTTCCAGCAGCCATTGGCTCACAGAAGAAGTTCAGCCGACCACTTCTGCCTGCCACTACAACAAAATTGTCTCAGGTGAGTCATTATGACAGAGCTTTGACCTTGGAAAAAAGTACTTCGTAAAATAATCTCATTAATAATTGTATTTGATTAGTACTTCATATTTGGGGGCAACTGAGAGGTCTTTCCCTGTAAGGGCATTATTGTAAAAAAAAAAAGGGTCAAAAATTTAGTATATTAGGTTTTTGTCTTCATCTAGGAAGCTAATACAGAGTTGTGGTTAATTAGTAGGACATATTCTTTGATTTCATTTCTAAAATGTATACTAGTTTACTACTTAATTAGTCATATTTTCCTGGTTCTTTTTTTTTTTTTTTTTTCCAACAACTCATGACTTTTAAATGACTGGCTAATGCTAGGGAAATATCCTGGCTTGGTAGCAAGTTTTTCATTTATTTATTCATTCATTAGTTCATTTTATTGAGCATTTATTACATCCCAGACTGTATTTGATGCTAAGAATTTAAAAATATTTTCAGGGATCCAGTGCTAACAGTATAATGGGGAAGGGTCTTTGCCCTTCAGGGTGGAGCTGAATGGAACATAGGAGTTTCCAAGCTAATCAAGATAAAGTGCACAGAACTCTGTTCCAGATATATTTACATACATTTTCTTTCTATTATCAGGTTAATCTTGCTAAAAACAATGTTTCATGTCCTTCTCTACTTAAAACTGTTCTAAGTACACTGCCTAAAAAACCATGTTTGCTGATTTTAAACCTGTCTGCAGTACCCTCACTGTCATTGACAAGTTGAAGATTTGGGGAGGTACTCTGCTGACTTTGTGAATACCTTATTGCTGCAACAGTAGAAATAGCTTTATCTGACTATGATCAACCAGATCTTGGTATCAACTAGCTCCTCTACACATCTCTGGTATCATAATAATCAATGATACATTTATTTAATAAGTGTGTATTGTGTGCCTGCTATACAGCAGAGACTATTTTAGGCCCTGAAGATAGGCAGATGAAACCCAGATTGTCTCTTGAAGGAGTGACAAATATTAATATAAATAAGCAAGTAACTATAATACAATTTGTTAGAAGTACAGGAAGGGTAAATGCAGGGTGCCATGGGGGTTCAAGGAAGGGACACCTAGCCTGGCCTTGGGGGTAGAAGAGGAAATGTGATATCTAATATGAAGCTTAAAGGATGAGAGGTGAGGAATAAGATAACAGAATGTTCCTGCAGAGTAATAAAGGCCCAGAGGAGAGAGCACTGGGATGCAGGAACCACACACAAGTTATTAAATATGACCTGAGCACAGTGTTCAGAAAAAGCAAAAACTGTACCTGTGTGGAGGTAAGCAAAGGCCAAATCATGAAAAGCCTTGTTTGTCATGTGTAGATTTTGGATGCTTCAGTGGTTCCCAGTATCCTTAGGATAACAGTTTTAAGCAGGAGAGTAATGTGATCAAATTTGTACTTTAAAAATTATTCTCATTACAATGTGAGGAACATATTAGAAGATACCACTAGAAGCAGAAAGACCCATTCTAAAGGAACTTTGGGTCGTTCAGAGGAGAAGTAACTAAGTTGTGGAAGAAATAGATAAAAGTGGAAATACTTGCAAGATCTGGAAAGTATGGAATGGTCAGTTCTAGTGGCTCTTGGAAGTGGAGGAAAAGGGGCTGTCATCATGGCTTGGACAGCTGGGGACTGTGGTGCCTGGCCTGGCTTCTGGAGCCTCGCCTCACTGGCTCTTTGTTTTCCCTGTCTTGCTTATTCTCAGGTCTTTCCTGGATCCTTTTCTTCTGTCTCTAAATGTCCCATTACCCAGGGCTCAGAAGCAGACTAAGACACTTGAGAAACAACTTTTTAAAAAGTTACTTAGGTAAAAACAAAAAGGGAAAATGTTATGCCAAGAAAAGGAGGAAAAGGCCAGGTAAAATTTAGACAAAATATCTGTCATATTTAGTGACTGGGAGTTCATTGGGTATATTTCTGTAAGCTGTACAAGAAGCATGGCACCAGCATGTGCTTCTGGTAAAGGTCACAGGAGACTGCCAATCATAGGGGAAGGGGAATGCAGACATGTCACATGGGCAGGGAGAAGGGAGGTGGGGAAGGCACCAGGCAAGAATCTTTTTAACAACCTCATTACTGCTCTCATTACTGATGGGAGGGCACGAAGCCATTCATGAGGGATCCACCCCCATGGCCCGGACACCACCCACTAGGCCTTTCCTCCTCCAACATTGGGGATCACATTTCACCATGAAATCTGTAGGGCACAAACATACAAACTATAGCTTTGGATAGTCACCTCTGCAAAAGCAGTTTCAGTGGAGTGATGGGAACAGAAACCACATTGGTCCTTTTTGTTGAGGGGATGGAAGGTAGTAAGGAAGTGGAAGAAGGGAAAGTACACAAGTCTTGCCATAGATTATAAAGAATGTTAAGAGCAGGGAAAAGAAGAGACATGGTTTCCAGAAAGATTCTTTTGTTCAGTTTTTTAAGACTCTAAGAGAAAGGGAATACTCTTATTGATAACCAGAAAATATGTTGGCTGATATCTCCATCTACCCAACTAAAATATGAACTCATAAAGCAAATGCATTTCTCTACTTTAGATGTGGGGGCTTAACATGAACCATATGGCACATAAAGAGTATGTCACATAAAAGGTAAACCACATTACTTAAGGTAAAGAGAGAAAAATCTGAATAACTAGAAGCAAAAAAAACTTCAAAAATTCAGTTTTGTGCTATTAATTTTACTCTAGACACTCTGATTATTATTTTTCAATAGTAGGATCTTTCTCACGTCACTTCTATAAAAGATGCAGAGGAAAAGGTGAGTTGAACTAGAGAGGAACGCTAATAAGCCTGCCATTGATGGAAGATTTATGTAGCTTAGAGAGACATGGGATTTTTTCCTTGGTCTTTCCTCACTGTAGAATCTACAATTCTGTTTACTTTCTGCTTTGAAAAATGACAGCTGTCCTATTTATGTATGGGCTATATACTAGTAGGTCGCCAACACATGAAAATGAATGTGTTCATCTATTTGTGTGTTTTAACCAGAACAGCAAGCAAGCACCTTTATCAAGGCAGACTCTTATTTTAAATAAATGTCTTACACTGGAACCAAAAATAGAATGCGTAATTTTTTAAAAATGTATTTCTTCATTTTGTACATAAATCCAGAGAGATGAAAAAATGCATGTAGTATGATCAAAGTGATGGATTTAAGACTGTAACTAAGAAATTAATAATCAAAAAGAGGCATCCTCCAGTTTCTCATAAGACCAAATGACCATGCTGTTTCAGAAATTTAACTTCTTTGGAAAGGAATGAGATGATTCCCCCCCTCCTGCCAACAACCCCCACCCACCTCTCTGGCCCCAATTAAATCACTGAGCCTTTGTGGGCCTTAGTTTTACATCAGAAAATGAGATGGTTCTAGAATTTTTTAACATTTTTTATGTTATCAACTCTGTCATTTATTTGTCTGGGTCCTAATGTTAGTTTCTAAAAATAAAGATTTTTTACCTTTGTGGAACAAATATGAAAATTAAGCATTTATTAAAGAATAGGCTATCAAAACAGACAGAAGAATTACTTTGCACACAATCTGGTGTGTTGGTATGGGGTAGCCTCTAAGTCATAGTGCATCTCCAGTAAATCCTGGAATACGTGTCTAGAGGCCCCCATGATGTCTCCAGTACCCCTAGACAAGTTCTCATTTCTTAGCTCAGGCATACTCAACCTTGACACTATTAACATTTTGTCCTGGATAATTGCTTGTTTTGGGCGGCTGTGAATTGTAGGATGTTTACCAGTATCCACAGCAGCCTCAACCCACTAGATGCCAATAGCATCCTACCTTCCCCATAGTTATAACAACCAAAAATGTCTCCAGACGTTGCCAAATGTCCTCTGAGGTCAAAATTTACCCCACTCCTGCTGAAAACTGTGCAGTTAGCCAAGTGGTACAGAATCTCTGAAACCAACCATCTTTCCTTTCTCCATACCCTGCAGCCTGGCCTTGACTCCCTTCAATGCCAGGATCTCTTGGATAATTTCAATTTATATAATACCTAAATATATGTTGAACAATGTGAGTGCCCTGCTGGGGAAAAATGATAAAACGGTGTTAGAAAAAATTTAAAATGTTCAATTAAAAGATTGTTTGGTAGTTTGTAAGACACATTATTTATCACCCTGTCATTTGTGGGCTTTTCTTTAATTTATTCTTGTCTTCTATGCAAAACACATTAGCCTTAATTATTAAAATTGATCATTGCCAGGGCAGCTTAGTTCTTTCTGAACAGCTATGCTGTGTAGGAAGAGTCGCCTTCTTTCTTTGTTTTTTATGGCAGCATTGCCAGAGCACATTTTTCTGCTGTTGGGGGTGGAAAGATTAGTTTGCAAGTTTAGGTTTTGTTTCTCCTTCTGGTGTAGCTCTCCAAACATAGAACTGCATGGCTGGCCCCCTTCAGGATCTGTTCAGGACCTTTCTTTTTGCTCACCAAGGCAGTCATTTTCAGACTCTAATGTGTTCAAGAATTATCCAGGACTTGCATAAAATGCACATTTTCTGTTCCCCCAACCCCAGGTTGTTCAGGTCCAGGCTAGGTTCCAGGAACACTTATGTTTACAGTATGTACCAGGTGACTGACTGGCAAGAGGTACAGATCACACTTAGGCAACCTATACTATAACAGTCTGCCTCCCTTAGTCTTTCCTTACTGCTCTGGAGACTTGAACCCCGTGAAGGGAAGCCACCATTTCCTGATGTCTAGGCCTGTGTTCTTTGAATTCTAGCCATTATCTTATAAAAGTTTGAAAAGATAATAGATAATCGCTGAATATTAAATACTATTTGGGGCCAGCCATATCATGGGCACTGATCAGAAACAAGGAAAGTCCTGTGCTTCCTTCTCACAGTGAAGTCACCCCCACCCCTCATTTATACTGTGGCTTGGCCACAGGGCAATAGTGCTAAGGGCCAGGTGGGCCAGGCAGTGTTAGAAATTGAGATTCCAGGGGAGGAGGGCGTTCTATAGTTG